ACACACACACACACACACACACACACACACACACACACAAACACGCACACACACAAACACACAAACACACAAACGCACACAAACAAACACACACAAACACATACACACACCATCCTCCCATGGCAGGGGCAGCGGCTCCGAATTCTTTCTCCGCCCCTTACCCCTGCCGTATTACATGGCATCTTCTACTCTACGACCCGAGGAATATTAATATTCATGAGCTTGCCTTATTTGGCATGACCCCATTTCTAACCAATCAGCGCCCATGTTTCAATTTGCTCCGCCCACCACCATACAGATTCAATATGGCGGGGAATATGCTCGGGAGTACAGAGGTTTTGGCGACCAAAACGTGTTTGCTATGCAATAATGCCGTCAAGTGGAGAAACTACAGAACTGTTTTTGGCGACAGCATGGTACCGCTGTACCCTCAGATTCACCAGGTCGTCAAAGTGTGGCCTGACAAACAAGTATGGAGCCGGAAAGGTTTGTCGATGTATGTGTGCATGTTCTGCGTTACCAAACTAAACAAGCTCAGCAAACGTGAGAATGAGCTCTCAACTAGACTACAAAAGCTTCAACAAGACAAGGAATCGCTGCTTATGACGTAGCCGCGGCGACTGTTGCAGGGCTTCTCTTGCTTGCAGTCTTTTACATTAGCCCTAACAACAGTCGCGGAGCGGTGCATTGGGCCAAATGAACAAACATGCGTTTTACCGTGCCGGAACACTTTGAGACCGAAGTTTGCACGTCCCTAGATTCCTAACAGCCTCACCTAACGTGCCGGGGTGTTTTGCGCGTCAACCGGCCCCTGTCCGGCTCGTACCGCCACTATTTGCGATCGCTCCCCATGTATTCACAAGCCGAGTGGCCGCCATCTTGGTCAGCCGCGCGCTGAATCAGCTACTTGCAAATGTGCCGCTACTTTTNCCATAAACAGTACACCTGGGGTCCGCGCGAACCCCAGCACTATTTATTCTGATAATTCTGTAATATTTTTCTTCATTCTAAATATTTTTTTCTGAGATTTCAGGTAATTGTCACCCACAACGTTGTTTCTCATTACAGTGCAGACAGTTCTGTCTCCCCCATTTAAAAAAATGTATATCTGGTTTTCTTTTGTGGTCCGTGCGGACCCCAGCCGGCTTTCGGTCGTAATGGATACACTGGCGTTCTTATACATTACTTTATTTCCGTTTTAATATGTTTTTATGAACTTATCGTAAGGCCACCAAATTTTTAGAGAATGGTGTACTGATACAATTAAATTTTAACAATTTTAGTTTAATTTTGACGTTATATGACGTCAGAGCTAGTGTTATGGTCCGCCATCTTGGATTTAAGACCAATGACGTCATCAACTTAGCATATATTATGAATAATTGATGATTTACGCCCAAAAGCAGTTACTCAAGCAACTGGATATTATTTTAAAAACGTCAGACGTTTTAGCTACTATCCACTAGCATTCATCATTGGCCGAGAGACCAGAGGGAAAATGCAGGTTTATAAGCACAACCTATTGATTGATACGCAAATAAAGTGAAGACAAATTTCTGGAAGTCCACGGATATCTTAGACCGCGAAACACGCTGGTGGGAACGGGGTGTTAAAGAGGCAATATATGAAAGACATCCTCCCATGGCAGGGGCAGCGGCTCCGAATTCCTTCTCCGCCCCTTACCCCTGCCGTATAACATGGCATCTTCTACTCTACGACCCGAGGAATATTAATATTCATGAGCTTGCCTTATTTGGCATGACCCCATTTCTAACCAATCAGCGCCCATGTTTCAATTTGCTCCGCCCACCACCATACAGATTCAATATGGCGGGGAATATGCTCGGGAGTACAGAGGTTTTGGTGACCAAAACGTGTTTGCTATGCAATAATGCCGTCAAGTGGAGAAACTACAGAACTGTTTTTTGGCGACAGCATGGTACCGCTGTACCCTCAGATTCACCAGGTCGTCAAAGTGTGGCCTGACAGACAAGTATGGAGCCGGAAAGGTTTGTCGATGTATGTGTGCATGTTCTGCGTTACCAAACTAAACAAGCTCAGCAAACTTGAGAATGAGCTCTCAACTAGACTACAAAAGCTTCAGCAAGACAAGGAATCGCTGCTTATGACGCTACATGGTAACATGGACAGTAGAAACGTAGCAACCACGTCAACAACAGCATCAACATCATCAGCCAGACCAGGAAATACCCCTGTCCAAACGACTCCAACAAAAGTTGTGCGATTGAAAAGGTCGCTTGTAAGAACGCCTACCCCGAAGAAACTGGTAAAGCGGCCCTTACTGAAGACCCCGGTGAAAAAAGCGCCCAGTCCAGCGGCTAAAGCACTCCCCTGCATTCCCGTGCCGAACATTCCCGTCAGACAAAAGCACGACAAGAAGACTCAGTTTGGTCCGCCTCCTGATAAGGTTGGTTCAGTAAAGGTAAGCCATCGCTTGTAACATTTACTTAAATTATACTGATCATAAAATAGACAAGATTGCTTCTAAATTGTTCTTGAATGACTCGTAAGATGTTGTAATTATGACACAGTGCCATGTCATAAATTGCTCGCCATGATGGAAATAACAAAAAAAGTCAGTTATAATTTTAGACAAAGTAGTATAGTCTATGAGGCTGTTTGAGTGATGAAATATTTCACTGTTGTTGTACCTGAAGTGAGCTGGTGTGTCCTGCTCTGGTAGAATATGAGGGGGGCAAGAAGACAATGAGTAGGAAATGACTATACTAAGCTTATTGGTCATATTTGCTTAGCCAGGATAGAGGGTCTATATAAAACCAACAGGGCTCACTTTTGATCTGGAATCTGCAACACCAAACTCTACCAGCTACTAATACCAGTTAGTGTAATATGTGTAGTTTACCAAGCTATTGGGTGAAAAGGAGTAACTTGGTTGATCCTCTCATTTTGCTTTCTTCTACTTGTAGATTGTAGGTCTGACCTTGACTTCATGTTCTATTTACTTGTTCTGTAGTTGATTGTCTGGAAGTGGCTGTTGTGCGTTGTTAAGACTCTTCAAATTTTCTGACCTCCAGACTTTCTTTTGTTTTGACAGGTTGTTGTCACGTACCCTTCAGGCCAGAAAACAAAGTTCATAAGAGATCAGGAGGATGCCAAGTATCTCAGGGCCCTAGCTGATGGAGCGTCTGCAGAGAGACTCGTCGGAATCATCTACAGGGACCCCAAGTACAGGCCATTTCTTCACAGGCAAGTGTGCCATCAACTGTCCCGGGATTGCACAGGTCTGTGCAGCGACAAGGACCCTTCTGTCTTGAAGAAAACTGACATTGATCACTTGCTGAATTTCAATTGTGAAACTGTCATCAATGAATGGAGACAGAGAGCTCCTCTCCTGTATGATGTGCTCCTAGCAGTGGCATGTAGCGACCAACCAAAGAAGCATGCAGAAGACAAGACAGAAGAAAGACACTATCCACACATCGTGCAAGCGGGGTGTGCCCTCCTGTACCATAGGAACAGAAACATGTGCGGTCTTCAGATTGCAACAGGGATGGTACTGGAGAAGGGTGGCACAACAGATGAGGTAAAAGTGAACACCCACTTTATTAATTATTCAAGCTCTACTATGATTTACTACCACAAGCATGTAGTGATCTGGGGAAAAGTTACATTAAAAGAAATATTAACAACAACCATTTACCTTCTGTTTTATCTGTCACCTTTGTTTAGTGTTTGAAGGTATAATCAAATGATACCTATGCAGCAAAGGAACCATGTTTCTACCTCTCAACATGCACACATATATTTTCCCTGTCAGTCCATATCTGTGCTACAGGGCATGGGTGTCACAGTAACACCTCGCACTCTGTACAACAAGAGGAAAGAAATGCTAGAACAAACATGAGGAGATGATGGACCGGACTGTTGGAGACTTTGTCAAACAAAGGGAGTATAAGGCATCAGCTGAAAAGTATGTGTCATCCAGTGGTCATGAGAGCAAGTGTGCTGAAACTGCATCACCTGTCATGTCACCCTCCACCAGCAGTGTCCCTGTACCACAGCAAGCTCCAGATGCCTGGGTTCCAGAGAAGCCACTCTGTCGTCTCCCAGGTGATACAGGTTTCAGCATGCCAATGTCAGCTCCGGGGTATGCCATACCAACCTTTCCTTCCTCCATGTACACTTCCCCATCAACACCTGTCCAGGTACAGAACTCAGATGGTGTGGATTCATCTGCATTAAGGAGGCCATGTAGACCAGCCACACTAACCAGAGAGGTACAAGTAGAAGGGTCTGCTACGCCTATGGAGGTCTCCATGGATGGGGTTGTACTGCTACCACGGAAAGTCATGCCTGTAATGCTAGCTGGTTTCCAGGTAGTTATGGAGCAGCAGCCCTCACCAGTCCAACAATATCGGCGTCATCTACTACAATTGCAGAAGAAGGTAGAACCATGACCATCCAGAAAGAACTTTTACAGAAGATCCATGCCAATCCAGTGACCTCAATAGTGGCACTAGGTGACAACTTTGACCTCATGAAAAGGCCTTCTATGATGACAGTGGAACACCAGAGGGAGAGCTGGCACTGGTTTCTAGTTCTGTTAGCAAAGAAGAGGATATTTGACTACACGCTCCCAAATACTTCCCCAAAGAACAACATCCTGACCCTCGAGACAAGCTCATGGCTACCCTCGCAGCAGGAACTGGAGATGTACGAGAACAATGTAGACTTTCACGTGGCCCGCGTGCTGGTTAAGTACATTGAGTTCCTCAAGTCATATGGTGCCTGCATACCAGCCTACATAGACCATCCCTATGTAAAGGAATCAGCACAGAAGAGCGAGATCATGAATGTAGAGTTGATAGATGCTCCAGAAAACAGCGCTGAGGGCATTATCACCATCATCAAGAGGCTGAACAAGCTCCTAGTTCCACAGACAGGAGGGGAGGACTCCACGGCGGTGGAACGGATTGTACTCGGGGGAGATGTGTTGACCAACGAGAGGGCATTTTCCGGACAAGCTGCATTGATGAATGCTGACAACGAGAAGGATTCCTGTGCTGGATAATTCACAGACCGGAAGGACTTCACCGCCTAATGAACTTTCTGATTGGTATCATCTTTTCTATGCTTTTATTGTTTCTCTAGGACAGAGGGATTGAATGATCACCGGGAGACAAGTCTTGTAGCCTTGACTAAGACTGTTACCATGTGAATCCATGTGTTCAATCTCTCAATCATTATCTGTGCAACAAAGTATTGATTTCGTTGTTCCATTTTTTTCAGATACACTAGCACACATGCACATGTACATGTACCTTGTTAAAACTTGTTGATTCATCTTGCATATTACAACAATGGGTTTACAACACTATAGATTGGTACTAACCTTAACCTTTCAAACGTGTTTTCCAGGCCTTTACAGACAGAAAACATATTATGTACTGTGACACACAAAGTAACTCATTGTTTTTGTTGCACTATTGCAGGGTATCTACCAGGAGTTCTACAAAGAACCAGTAACAGGGGACCGGGCACTGCCGTACTCACTGAGGAACATTGTCAACAGACGAGACGTGGAAGGGCCCAAGTCAGTCACAAAAGCTTACAGGTACTAAGTAATTCATTACTGTACTAATTGCNGGGCACTGCCGTACTCACTGAGGAACATTGTCAACAGACGAGACGTGGAAGGGCCCAAGTCAGTCACAAAAGCTTACAGGTACTAAGTAATTCATTACTGTACTAATTGCATCATGGCCATTTCCAAGTGAATGTAAACAGCAAACTTGGCTTCATAGTAATTTAGATTCTTGCAACAGGGCTAAAGATGTTCTGGTTAAGCGTTGAGAAATGCTTTTCAATTTCAGATCACACCTGGCTTTTGTGGTGGACTGTGTGGATGCCTACACCGTAGCAATGGCATGTCAGCACTTTGGCCTTTCCAGCATTGATGGCAAGCCAACAGCCAACACACCTCCAGTACTGCACAGCACTGACAAGTCCGGGAAGTACCTGTGGCTCCTTCAACAAGCGAAGACAATAAGAAAACAACTATTGTCACCAGGTGATCATGAACAAGCAATGGACATTGACCACATGACTCAGCAAGTTGCAGCCTTGGACAACAGACAGCAGATGCTACAAACAGTGCAACAGGAAGATGGCAAGTACAAGTGCCCCCACTGTGGGAAGGAGTACGTTCGAGAGAAAAATTTCACAAAACACCAAGAGAAGGTTCACTCCATAGACCTACATGTGGACACAGTGCCTGCTGAGGGTCAGGAACGTAAGAGTGAAGATACCTGCAGCAGTTCTGTATCTGTCATCTCAGCATTCTGCAGAATGGGATATCTACACAGGGACACAGAAGATGCCTACAAAATGGCTGATGGGAACAGAATATTCAGAAATGCCAAACTAGAAATGCTCTATGCATGTAGTCTGAAGCATACAAAGTACACCCTGTGGCTCTGGCGTATGTTGGCATACGGGATGGCCCTGCTCAACCCTTCAGAAGCTTTTGACTACAAGTGGAACACTTGCACAAACCTACAGGGAGGTATTGGGAAGAACATCCCCAATGACAATGCTGTGGAGCTGCAGGTGGGTGAAATCAAGAAACGACTACACCGGGAAGGATCAAACAAGACTTTTCAATCAGCTCAAACAATTTGCAAGACAACCCAAATAGTGAATAAGGTAGCAGAGAATCTCCGACACGTGTGTGGGGTTGACATGAAAGCCGCACAAAGGACTGTGGCCAAAAAGGAAAAGGACATCGAGACACTCGTGGATGAAATTCTTCAGTCAAAGGTCCTGGACTCCACCACACTTTACAGGACATTTCACAACTACAAAGATCCAATGGCAAGACTGGACATGGAAAAGTTTTCAATTGGGTGAAAGAACAGAAAGAGGTGTCTAACATGACTATGACCCGGAATGCACGCCTTTAAGGCACTTATGTGACCAAACACTTTTATTCTCAATCATGCTTTTATCTTCAGAACCCTATTGTAAAGTCGGTTATGTGACAAGTGTGGAAATGTACCCCAAATATGGAGTAGTCGATTTTTGTGCATTACCGTGTCAATTGTCCTGCTTGGAGATAATAATATTGCTGCTTTTTTTTAGTTATGTTATGTGAGTAGTTTAACTAGTTTTTTTGCCACGAACTGTATATTCGTGCTACCTTTACCGAAAAGGTATTGTCTATCCTAGGAAAGAATGATAGGAATACATTGTGTATTTCATTTCAAATGTTGCAATTTTAATTGAACCACACACTGCTTTGTCTGAAAGCAAGACAACTTTAGCATTATGATTTCACTAAGCCACTTTGCACTGCTTGTGCAATAAAATATCCTTGTCATCTAACAGTTTTTCAGTTTACCATGTGCAGTGTCTATACCCTTATATATTTTATTATATTATTTATATATTATATATTATTTAGTCATTTGCTTCTTGCACAAAATGCAATGGTCAGAAACCTGCTGCTATCCACTACACTAAACTCCAGCATTGACTAGGNCTACACAGGGACACAGAAGATGCCTACAAAATAGGCTGATGGGAACAGAATATTCAGAAATGCCAAACTAGAAATGCTCTATGCATGTAGTCTGAAGCATACAAAGTACACCCTGTGGCTCTGGCGTATGTTGGCATACGAGATGGCCCTGCTCAACCCTTCAGAAGCTTTTGACTACAAGTGGAACACTTGCACAAACCTACAGGGAGGTATTGGGAAGAACATCCCCAATGACAATGCTGTGGAGCTGCAGGTGGGTGAAATCAAGAAACGACTACACCGGGAAGGATCAAACAAGACTTTTCAATCAGCTCAAACAATTTGCAAGACAACCCAAATAGTGAATAAGGTAGCAGAGAATCTCCGACACGTGTGTGGGGTTGACATGAAAGCCGCACAAAGGACTGTGGCCAAAAAGGAAAGGACATCGAGACACTCGTGGATGAAATTCTTCAGTCAAAGGTCCTGGACTCCACCACACTTTACAGGACATTTCACAGCTACAAAGATCCAATGGCAAGACTGGACATGGAAAAGTTTTTCAATTGGGTGAAAGAACAGAAAGAGGTGTCTAACATGACTATGACCCGGAATGCACGCCTTTAAGGCACTTATGTGACCAAACACTTTTATTCTCAATCATGCCTTTATCTTCAGAACCCTATTGTAAAGTCGGTTATGTGACAAGTGTGGAAATGTACCCCCAAATATGGAGTAGTCGATTTTTGTGCATTACCGTGTCAATTGTCCTGCTTGGAGATAATAATATTGCTGCTTTTTTTTAGTTATGTTATGTGAGTAGTTTAACTAGTTTTTTTGCCACGAACTGTATATTCGTGCTACCTTTACCGAAAAGGTATTGTCTATCCTAGGAAAGAATGATAGGAATACATTGTGTATTTCATTTCAAATGTTGCAATTTTAATTGAACCACACACTGCTTTGTCTGAAAGCAAGACAACTTTAGCATTATGATTTCACTAAGCCACTTTGTACTGCTTGTGCAATAAAATATCCTTGTCATCTAACAGTTTTTCAGTTTACCATGTGCAGTGTCTATACCCTTATATATTTTATTATATTATTTATATATTATATATTATTTAGTCATTTGCTTCTTGCACAAAATGCAATGGTCAGAAACCTGCTGCTATCCACTACATAAACTCCAGCATTCGACTAGGACTAGGAGCACCTAGTTTACGATATAAAGCTGGGAAATCCACTTTACGGTTGACGTAAATAGTTACATGGAATTTAGGAAGGAATCAGTCATCCTGTCCAGTATAGTCAGTGTCACTCATAGCATCATTGGATTCATCATCTAATACACTTCTCACAATTACATAAACTGTTTGGGCTTGTTCGTAAGACCAGACATTACACACAGCTAACACATCATCAGCAGACAGCAACCTTGTGCAGTTTCTAACTACAGAATTAATGACTGCGTCTGTGAATCCATGAGTGGCTTCTGCTGCTGTTGTCACGCTTGATGATTTCGAATCTTCATTGAGTTGAAATCTATACTGATCGAGAGACGATCTAAGAGCTTGGTCCTGTTCCTTAGTGATATTGCTCTCAGTCTGTGTCTCCAAGTCACTGTCACTATCACTATCTTCTGCAGCGGTGTAGGTGACAGGTTGAAGCTGTGAGCAGTCATCAGAATTACACTTGCAGTTTACACTACACACATCACAACATGTATGAAGAATTCTACTGTCACCACAGGATGCACTGTAGTATGAAAGTAATATCTCCCTACGACAGGTGCCCTCTGCATTCCTTACATATCTCAGCATTTCTGGATCAAGGTTTCTCAGTTGTCTGTTGTTATAGATTAGTACATGATGTGCTTGCCCTCCTCCCCTACCAGCACGTCCCTGCTCCTGTAGCAGTGTATCAATCTCCTGCGGTGGACCATAGTTGACAACATTGTCCACACCGGCAAAGTTCACTCCCATTCCAGCCGCAGTGGTGCAGACCAGTAACACGAACCGAGCCATCCAGTTTACTCATGTCATCCCGAATCCTGCACTTGGTTGATTCAGGTGTTTGAGAATGGTACATCTCTACGCTCTTCATGTGCTCCTTCTCAAGATACCTCTTACATAAGACATAGATCCTGGTACAGTCATCAATGGATTTGGTGAACAAAAGCAGTCTTGGACACTTGGAATCTTCTGTGTGACTTCTCACCAGTTTTAGAAGCCATTCAAATGTTTCCTTCAGTGGTTGACTACTGTCTACCTTGAGAACATGTAGCTTGATGTTATGCCTGTCAGGGTTATCAATAAACTCCTTGCACCCTTGCATGGCTAGAAGCTTCTGGATTCGTCGCCGCCTTTTTTTGCTTGCAGTAGCAGTTAATGCAAGCATCGGTGTACCTGGAATTAAACACCGCAATTCCCCAAGCTTTGAAAACCACTCTCTGAAGGGTTCTTCATCGCTCGATGCTTCACCCCTGAAAAAAAGTCAGTAGAAATTGTAAGTTAAAGCTACCTGTCTTTTACTTGTTCACACAAAATTATTACTTTTTGCATAACATTCTTTTCAGCACTAGATTAGGGCCAAAAGAGCATATACTTTGACAAGAAAAGGCTTTATCCTAACACATTGGCCACATGTGAAAGTCATTGTTATCCCTTTTCAATCAATACTACCAACTGGTATCCCGTAGCAGGTTTCAAGAAAGGTTAGAAGTACAGATTTTAATGTAAAGTGTACCTGTCAATCAAGTAATTGCTTCATGTTTATTCACAGTAATTTTAAGTTCAGTTTTCACTGTAACTAAGCTGTACCGTGAACTTACCATTATCGTTAACCTCTTTTTAACACGTTCTTGCTACCACAGTGAAAATTGAGTTCAATGAAAAAGTCTATTTTCTTTTGAACGCGCGCGACCGTGCTAAAGTGCAGTACAGTTGAGTGTAGTATAAACACAATTTTATGCATCCTCCCATGGCAGGGTCATTTTCGACATGTACTGAATCGGCAAAATAGAAGAAAAGTGACAACAGACTTACCACTGGACAACAGTATGGGCCTCGTCGATCACAATCAGGCCAACGTGTCCCTTGTAAACATCAGACCGCAACATCTCTCGGAATTTTTCATCGCCGAGGATAGTCTCGGGGGAGGTGAGTACAAACTGGAACTTCCCAGCGAGAATGCCCGCCGTATCTCTACTGTCCATCCCGAGGCAAACTGCCGTCAGCCCAAGACCGTTCAAGAACTCACAATGCTCCTTCATTATCGCATTCAGCGGGCTTACAACTAAGACGAACTCCTCTCCAGTCGCGCTCTAACAGCTCTCAGTTGCACAGCTGCTAGCGCGCGACTCTTTCCTGGTTCTTGCGAGTCTTGCTGCGACTGGAAATCCCATGAAACATAGGCTTTTCCCCCCGCCCGTTCGCACACTTAGGAACACGTCCTTTCCACTCATCAAAAACTCCAGAGTGGACTTTTGATGGTCATGCAGGCTCTCTAATCCAAAGAAGTCGCAAAAGTTCTCTTCCCAAGACGACGCCATGTTTGTTTTTATTTGTCACTGAACAGCCGATGTAAGAGCCGACATGATTGGTTCCGATAGCTAGCGCAGCTCATAAATATTTAATGTAGAGTGCGTTGAAGATTTTCTCTGTGATACGTGATTGGCTGAGAGCGTGTCCCTGGAATCGGGTCGTAGAGTAGAAGATGCCATGTAATACGGCAGGGGTAAGGGGCGGAGAAAGAATTCGGAGCCGCTGCCCCTGCCATGGGAGGATGACACACACATACACACACACAAACACACAAACACACGCACACACACAAACACAAACACGCATACACACACACAAACACGCACACACAAACAAACACACACACAAACACACACACACACAAACACACACGAACATGGGAAAACGGGACATGGTAACAATAAAAGTACCTTTGCTAAGATTAGACCGACGAGATCTCTCAAACAAAACCAAAAATATATAATGTGTACAGTCGATAACACTTACTGTCGCAGGTCGGCACCGTTCCACTCCATAGTCCGTCAGCCTGACAGGTTTGTGTGGAGCTACCTGACAGTTCGCACCCAGGATAGCAGCTGTAACTGGCGATGTCACCATAGTATGTACCACCCGAAACGACGCCATTCGTAGGAGATACAGGAGTGAGACAACGTACCTCTGTCGATAAGATAAACAAACCATAAACGTTTACAAAGTTAAAGAAGAAGATATAACCCTATTTCACTTTTTAAGCACCTAGAAAGTTACAGTATATTAACAGATTACCAGCATGGATTCAGAGCCAAACGATCCACAGAAACACAGCTTATACTAACAGTCCATGACATAGCTGGCGCACTAAACAGTAAACGGCAGGTAGATTTAGCAATACTTGATTTCACTAAAGCCTTTGATAAAGTCCCCCATGGCAGGCTCATCTCAAAACTGGAGTATTATGGAATCCAAGGCCCTACGCTGAATTGGTTAAAGGCTTTCCTGACCAACAGGGAGCAAACAGTAGTGGTTGAAGGGAAGGCGTCGGCTCCAGTTAAAGTAGCGTCTGGAGTCCCTCAAGGAACCGTCCTGGGGCCATTGCTCTTTCTCTTGTATATAAATGACCTACCAGATCAGCTTGACTCAAATGTGAGGTTATTTGCCGATGACTGTCTATTGTATGTAGAGCTTTCTACACAGACCGACTCACAACGTCTCCAAAAAGACCTGAACACCCTGGAAGAATGGCAAAGCAAATGGCTCATGCAGTTTAATCCCGAAAAATGCTACATTATGCACATAACAAACAAACGAACACCACATGCAACTAGCTACCAGTTTTGTGGTCGGGCTTTAGCAACCACAAAAATCCATCCGTATCTGGGCGTCACGCTGACAAGCGGACTGAAGTGGGGTGCACATGTTAATAATATCACAACTAAGGCGAAACAGACATTGGGAGTGATTAAACGTAATCTGTGGGCATGTCCAACGAGAGTAAAATCACTTGCATACACGTCACTTGTAAGACCGAACCTAGAATACGCTGCGACAGTATGGGATCCATATACAAAGAAAGACAAAGACAAATTGGAAAGGGTACAGAATCAAGCTGCAAGATTCTGTATGAACAACTATGTAAGAGGTGCTAGTGTCACGGAAATGAAAAGAAACCTACAGTGGACCTCACTTGAAGACAGAAGAAAGATGTCTAGACTATGCATGATGTACAAAATGACTAATAAACTGGTGGATGTCCCAACTATTAAGTACCTAATACCAGCCCAGAAGAGAACAAGAAATAGCCACGCATTCAAGTACCAGAGTTATCAACCAAGGATTGAGGTGTTCAAGAATTCATTCTTTCCTAGAACTATCGCAGAGTGGAACTCACTGTCACCAAGTACAGTAGGGGCACTGTCAATAGATAGCTTTAAACAGTGTCTAGAGCTAGAAGTTCAAAGGTTAGGTGTAACAAGTCGATCGGTGTAATATAGCCAGCTGCCGCCGCGCCGCGTGCCTGCGAAGCTGGTGTGTTACGCCGAAAGGCGGTTATACCGGCTATACAGTTACAGATACAGATACTTTTAAAACACTTCTTGCCATATCCACTCTGAAAATAGAATGAGACTAACTTACTCGGTTTCATTTTTATGCTTAATAGAATTTGTTTTGTGTCAGAAGAATCAGTTACATTATCATTAATCATTAGGCTTTATACTAACCTGAAAACTTAATGACTGAATCACATAAATCTGAGCACACCATTCGTCAACAATAGAACACCGATGTTGGAGATCTACATTGTGACCTACTTTCACAATGTGGCTGGGCACCAGACCACCCTTGGTTGCTTCCACAGGTTCTGTACTGATCACCATGAAGGTTGTAGCCTACATCACAGTCAAACATGACCGTATCACCGTAGTAGTTTGTACCGTTGATACCGCCATTCGGAGGAGGGTCCAACTGTGGACATTCTTTTCCTGCAAAAATGGGAATGTAAATATAAATAATATATATTCAACAATATATACAGTTCCACTGTATTTTGCATGGATTATACTTTAAAATGACTTGAAATGCTACAATAGACCAAAAAACACGCATTGACAGAGACACACAAAGAGACATACACATGTATAACGCATCAACACGTGCCATACACTACCAAAAATGATTTTTCTTGTTTTTCTTGCACATGCCCTCAAGCAAGAACTCATTAAATTGTGAACTTACACTTGTACATAAAGCGACCACCTACAAGTGAGTTACACATGAAATAGCGCAACTACCAGGGATGACATTATAATTAATCAGAAAACAGTCATCTTACTTTCACAGGTAGTTTCCTCTCCACTCCATGTCTGGTCAGACGAACAGATCCGAACCGCACTGCCCTGGATCTCATATCCCTCCGTGCAGATGTACACAGCCGCATCACCCAGCTTGTTTCCACCAGCAACGATACCGTTTGGTGGTGGGATTAGTTCGGAGCAGTTCATTGCTGAGTAGCACAATGGTAATATGTACTTAGCTTTAGTGACTGTTGCTATACACGAATATGCAAGCATTCCTAGATCATCTTGGCTTCGGATTTTTAACAGCAAAGAGGCAGTGATTTGGTCAACGAAGTCTCCCCAAAAATTTCATCTTCCAAAATTCCTTTAAATGTTTGAACAAATCATAAAGACAAAACTTAGATGACGTGCGAGTGTGTGTTTCTGTGTCTGTGTTTGTGCGTGTGTGTGTATGCGTGCGTGCATGAGTAGTAGTAGTAGTGAGCGTGTGTATGTGTGTGTATGTATTATGTACGTGTGTGTGTGCGATACATGTGAGTTCTTATTTGTAGCTATGTCAGTGTATGTTTTATGACATGAGTGTTTATGCGTATGATTTGACTTTGTTATGCAACTTTTGCATATCCAAGTTTGTTTTAATTGCTTGTCACAACAGGCAATCCCGTGGATGGTTGTACTTACGGACACATGACGGTTGCGTTCCAGACCAAATGCCATCTGACTGGCACATCCTGGACTGACTTCCGCTTAACTCGTACCCAGAGTTGCAAACAAAACTGACTTGTTGGCCGAACAGGTTCCCTCCGCTAATCTGTCCATTAGGAATTGGACTTAGGGTTGGACACTGCACTCCTGAATACAACATTTCAGACAATACATTAGCCACTGACATTACAAATGTCCAAGCAAAGTTACGGATAAGACATCTAGCAACACTGATCAAATAATACTTATGGTATCAGAAAGTTACCGGGAACAACACCGGGTAAGAACAACAAGAAATATTTATAGATATATATATATAGACTAAGTACAATGTATAAAGAGTAGATTGTAGAGGGGTAAATAACTGAGAGGGCAAAAAAACCTTAAAAAATGTGCATGGCATCTGAAATATATATATACATACATACATACATATATAAATACGTAAGTACACACACACACACACACACACACACACACACACACACACACACACACACTATATATATATATATATATATATATATATATATATATATATATATATATATATACGTATAATAATAATATGGATTCTAGAATCTGTTGCAGCTCCAAAAACAACTTACGAGAGCACGAAGGTTGAGTTCCACTCCACTGGCCGTTGCCCTGACAGGTTCTTGTACCGTCACCGACTAGATCATACCCGACAGCACATGTATATGTGACCATGTTGCCATACAGATTGCCTCCTGTTCTGTTGCCATGTAGAGGCGTGGGTAAATCCGGACATGCCTTCCCTGTTGATTAAAAAGAAAGGAAAATGTACATTCAGTTTACAGTTACTTTAGTACCTTGTATTTTGTCACCTGGACATTTAAGAAGGGGGAGTACAGTATTGGCAAACATGCTTCTCACGTTAAAAACAAGTCCTGGAGTAAATGAATGAGTGAATGTAAGTGCAGTTTGTAAGTGATGACAGGAGACGCACACTGAAGTGTTTTTTTAAAGATTCTAATTCTCTGTCTAGATATCAATGTCTTTAAAAGGTTTTATATGCAGTCCCCTTGCTTCCAAAGGATGTAGCGAGGTTAACTTTACAATATCTCATTTGGTCACGGGTCCATTCGCTGAAGGGCCGTAGCTTTTGAAAATAAATTTGTTGCATTAGCCAATACTTCATAGGCAACGTCGGCCCTATTGGTCAACAAATACATACAGCCTGTCCGCGCCTTTCAAAAATTTACTCCTAAATGCAAATCTTGATCCACAAAGTACTCATCTTTCCCACCAATCCCACCCTTACGGATTCATTGCCGTACGACACAACACAACGTACAGACCAAAACACTTTCAAGGATAGGATCCACATACTACTGAAATCTCACGCGTAGCAATAACACCTCATCCGCTTGACTACAACTGAGGGGTGCTTTCTAGGACAGAACAATGACAAAAAGGGCAAATATTGCTTTTACGGTTATCCATCACTTGTGCAATAAGTAGCAATACAATGTTGGCTTACGTTCACAAGTTGGCTGAGTCCCGCTCCATGTCTGATCATTCTGACAGGTTCTCATGAAGTCCCCACCTGTCAGGTCGAATCCTTCCTTGCAGAAGAATATAAGAAAGGCGCCAACAGACGTGCCACCGGTCGTCTCTCCATTTAAAGGTGCATCAAGCTCAGGACATGCTAGTGCTGTTGAGGTGAAATACAAACAACTACGTTTTACAGCAAAATGTTTTGAAGGCTTCATTCTTTTTAAATTTAAGTAGATAAAGATGGTTAAGAATTATCAACATGACAACTCCTTGTTGAAATCAACGACTCGATTACTGTTACCTGAACAGCTAGGCTGTGTGCCGCTCCATAACCCGTCTGCCTGACAAGTTCGGTTGGAGCTGCCCGTTAAGTCATGCCCCGGCCCACAGGTGAAGTACACCGTGTCGTTGTAGTTGTTGCCTCCGTTCATGGACCCATCGACAGGTGGATTTAAGGTCGAGCACTTCACCACTGAACACAAACAACACGGATACATTACAAAGGATTGTTGAAGTTTAAACATGTTACTATCTCATAACGTGAAGGTGATCTCATAATCAAACTAAAGTTCTTTGAGTTTTATGTAGTCACACGCGACTCCATATACATATTAATTACAAACTCAGCCGCTGCGCGCCAAGAGGGTGTTGGAAAGCGCCAGGTGGACCATTTGTTTTAACTCAGCCCATTTGAAGTAAACAGACCAATGAACTAATAGCTACTACTAAAGATGTGGATTACATAATAAACAGAGGAACATACATTCGCATGTTGGTGGTGAGCCTGACCACTGTTGGTTCTCCTGGCAGGTTCTACTCGAACTTCCGATCAGGTCGTAGCCGGTGTCACAGGTATAGGACACAACATCCATGTAGGAATTTCCACCCGACACAGAACCGTGCAGCGGAGGGAAGAGTATTTGGCAGCGTTTTTCTACCAAACAAAAGTTGATATACCAGTGAAGTCTATATCGTATATATTTTCTTACAGTGTCAATATTTAGAATAGTTTCCATATGGTCAAAGCTCTTCTAAGGAAATGCGGTTACCTTAATTGATTATGAAACATATATTGCAGATTTGGACTATATACTGTACAACTGATTACAATTTTGTAAAACAAAGTGAAGTGTAGAGCCAATACAATAGGAAACCTGACTTACTGATATACTGATCCCATGCTTAATTCATATCATAGCATGATATATTGACTTCTGCTAACACGTATAACGTTGCATGTTACCAACTGGAACCAGCTTCCATTTTATGTATTCATTAATTAAAATCGAATAATTGCATTTACTTACTTTCGCACCGAGGCGCAGTGTTATCCCAAACACCAGTTGCAAGACATACACTGGTACCGGCACCGTTGAGTCTGTAGCCGACATCACAGGTATAGGTTACCGTGTCTCCATAGGTCCTTCCACCGTTCACGTCACAGTTAGAAGGCACTTCAGGGGGTGGGCAGACGAGTTCTGCAAATATATCAAATATCATGATAAAGATTAACTATTCAGCAGTATAAGTTTCAGTCTGGCAAAATCGTGACTGTAATAAAGACACAAAGGCTACTCTCCTCTCAGCATATTATACTGATAATTAAAGTTAAACGTGACAGTTATATTACATGCACATAGAAGGGCGTGGATTTCTATAAATAATGTATGCGTGTAGTGTGCCCGGTGAGGGTATACACCAATCAAACTTAATTTTTCCTGGAAAATTTGGTGCCTTTTGTCAGTTTTGTGGTGGATGGGATAGTTAAGGCTTCTTGGGCCCTTGTCGTCTTGCCAGACTTAATATTGCCAGGCTTAATATTCTGATTTTGGTGAAAAAAACTTTGGTTTAGAATGTTTGGGAGACCACTGGGGAAAATAGCCTCAAGTGCTGTGATCAGGTTAATTCCTGTAGATTGGAGGGCTTGTGACCATTTCAGGAGGTGTGCTATATTTTCAAGGTCAGTTTGTATGAACTGTTAATCCCAGACGTGAGATTTTGACACCTTTCTTGTGTTTTTTATATAGAATTCTGCAGTTCAGCGTATTGGAGGGCATGCCGCAATGATTTTTCGCATAACAATCCTGCGTGCCTTCCATGATAAAATGTAAAAAAAAAAATACATAAATGATAAACTCACTTTCGCAGTTTGGACGTGACCCATTCCAAGTTTTGTCGTCCTGACAAAGAAGGTTGCTGTTTCCCACCAGTTTGTATCCCAAGTTGCAGGTGAACCGAAGTAGATCCCCGACAACAGTTCCACCCACCATCTGTCCATTTGCAGGGATGGACAGAGTAGGGCACTTCTTTTCTGTATCGAACATGGTGATAGATTGAAGACACATTGGCATTAAGGCATCGCATAATAGCACAAACTTGGATTTTAACTTATTGTTTAATATAAGCTGACATTAAATGACCCTAACAAATTTCATCTATAATATTCTGCCACAATTTTGACTCAATTCAATGCATGCGCAATGGTGCCTCTTTGAGCTTGATATGTAGCTTTCGGCCTTTGTATGGATATCATGAATTAGCAGCATTTAATATCTTCTACTGCAAATATCATAATGATTAATTCGCTACTGATAAATGCGCCCGTGGTAAACAGTAAGCCCCAGTACACACCTACACATGTGGGTTGTGATCCGGTCCATTGTTGAGTAGACTGGCAGGTTCTGCTGCTGCTCCCAACCAGCTCATACTTTGCAATGCAGGAGAAGGTTATGGTGTCACCGAGGAAGAAAGTACCACTTGTAGAGCCATGAGTTGGCGCTTGAAGGGCAGCACATCGCTTTCCTATGTCATAATAAGAATGATGTCATTCGTGTGTGTTTGTGGATTGTCTTAATAATGTATTAGGCAAGTAGGTCTTGATAATACTTGAAATATATATATATATATATATATGTTAGTATTTTATATACCGTTTATTTAATTCTTAATAAATATATATGTAAAGTTCCTTAAAGTTCCTTAATAATTAATGCGTTCAATAACAGGAGTATTCAAACACATGTCGGGCGAAATACCGAAGAGGGTTGTCAGAGAATGGTGCAATTAAAGCTCGCAAGGGGTCCAACCTAGAACGGTCGGATCGACGTCTGTGTATTCGGGCGAGGCTCAGACGTTACAGGCGACCTGGAAACAAGAGCTGTGACCTCAAAAAACGCTGGAGACAAGTCGCTGGTGTATGCCCTCCATGTATATTATGTATGTGGTTAATTGTAATAAATAAATCGGTTGGTTTAGTGTGACAGCGATTATAGGCCGACTCCGCAAAATCGCGAGACGAAGCACCGGGCGTGATTTACCGCTCACAGGCTCGTCGGCCAATCGACTTTCGCGCAACGTGACGGCCATAATAGATCACATGACGTGTATACCTTTAGTTTGGTGTGTATTCAGTAACAAGGTCTGGATTTCGCATTCTTCTTATTTTTTTCATCACAGAGGCTGCTTTACTGATTTTAATATTTAGAGATTGTTGCTGACCATTGCTCCCAGGTAGGTGAAGCTATCTGTCACAGTATGTAAGCAGCTGTTTCAAGACATAGTTATCTGTTTGGGTGCACTTACTGTTGCAGACTGGTTGGGTGCCTGTCCAAGTCCCGGATCCCACACACTCCCTAGTACCACTGCCCACGAGCTCGTACCCAGCGTCACAAAGGAAGGTCTTGACGTCCTGGTAGGCATAGCCACCACTAACACTGCCGTGGTTGGGAGCAGGAAGATTGGTGCAGTATATTTCTATTGCAAAAAAAACAAAACATTTCCTTTATAACATATGAGTAACGGGATGGAATTCTTAATCTTTTGCGGTCACTTTAACTATTAATACAACATTTAATCTGTTTCGATTTTCCATGATTTTCAATAAATGAATATTTCATTAATATGCACAACTTGGCAGTTGGTCAACGTTATTTGGCTATATGACTATGTCCATTATTACTCGCTACAGTTTCTTGTCAAAAAGAGCATCCCACCAAAAGTTACATATGAGGTGGACGAAAAACATATTAAAAATCGTTTGATTTGAACTTACTGCTGCAAGTAGGAGTAGATCCGCTCCATGTCCCTGATGACCGGCAAGTTAACGAACTACTTCCAGTCATCTGATACCCGATGTTACAGGTGAAGGTCAGCACATTACCGTAGTATATACCACCTGTCATCGAACCGTGCGAAGGAGGGCTAAGGTATGGGCAGCTTATCCCTAACGAGTAATACACAAAAAGAGAATTAAGACGGATTAGTGTTCAACGACTTTCTCTAAATACCTTCTCTAAATGATGTATCTTAAAGTTTTCAACTGATGAATTGTAAATGTTTCCAAATAACTTGGCAATTACGATTCTCATTTGTATGAATTGCACCAAATGATCTCAAGCCAATGACAGTTCAGCCTTAACAAAGATAGCTATTTATCTAGCATAAACTATGTAAATGAGGTCATTATTTTATCATGGAAGTCCATCTGTGGTGGCATTGATTATAGTGCAATGCTTAATTTGAGCCTTGTATTCTCTTCGTGTTGAAATAAGTGTTGGACAAGATAGACAAATGGGCCTGTGACTGGTGCATTACATTTAATGCTGGAAAGACTGAAGAGATGATTATAAGTAGGAAACGAGAACAGAACCACCCTCCTCTCTACTTCATGAATGAAGAACTAAAGCCTACTCATAGCATTACCCTTCTTGGTGCTACCATTACCAATACTCTATCCTGGACCCCGTTCATCAAAATTCTTGCTAAGAAAACGGCCAGGAGGTTATACATCCTTGGGCGTACCAGAGACCTTCTCCCTCTTCAGGCTCGAATAACAGTGTATAAGGCATATATTCGTCCCCTCATGGAATATGCTTCCCCAATATGGAGCGGAGCTGGTGCAACTGTACTTAAGCTACTTGACAGCATTCAGAAGAAAGCTGTACGTCAGCTCCAAATCGGGGATCCGCAAAAGGTTGGAATATATCCCTTGGAACACAGAAGAAAAGTAGCCAGTCTGAGTACCTTTTACCGGCACGTCTTCCTGCAACCCTCAGAGGAACTCAGTGGAATTCTGCCGACCAAAGTATCTGGAACGCGAGTAACTCGCTCAACCACAAGTGGGCACCCATACCTTGTTAAAGTGCCAAAATCCAATACTCAGCTTCACATGTCCTCATATGTACCAAGGACTAGCAGGCTGTGGAACTCCTTACCAGCCTCGGTCTTCCCTGACTGTCCCAATATGACTAAGTTCAAGACTGCCGTAAACAGTTTCTTGTTGAACTCTTAGAGATTTTCTAATTTATGACAATTAATTATGTACCATGCAATTATGTATTATGTATAATGTATCTGATAATTTTGGGATCGAATGTGACTGTGCACTTAAGCGAGGGGAATTGATTGATGTGACATCCTATTGAACCGAAAATCATCGATCTACGATGTTAAGACCAGGTTCATTTTGCACTGATTAGAAAAAAAAAAGTTCAACATTGTATCATGAGATCCTTATTTGCATAATATATGCTTAATGATGCCCACCTTCAGTTAACTTTGAAATGTTGCAAGTACGAAATTCCTGTCAGTTATTACTATATTTTCTTATTAATTATGCAAGTTATGTCTTCATTTAAAAAATCAATATCTGTCGATGCTTCTCTTATTTTCAATTACTCACGTCCCAAGTTTGAATAGTTGTCTAATGCAACGCATCATCTTTACAGAATTTCCAGATTAATGATGCAAATGAGATTTTGATTTGGACAACTGTAATCTAATGATATCAAGGCCTATCTACCTTCTCCGTGTGTGGGGGTATTTTTACGTGTTAACTTTTTTGTTGCTCTGCACTCCTTTAAAAAATCGAAACCAAAGACGAATCGTAGCATTTCCCTTGGAATGTGCATGTGCAAATAAGGTGTTTAGCACAATTTATATCACATTTACATATATTCATGTACACATAACTTGATAGTAACATGATAGTAAGTGTGAACTTGGAAACACCTGTACAATTTCAAATGTTGGTTAGTTTTGTTTTTTAACATAAATAGAACCATTTGCATTCTCAGCTACATGACCCGAAAAAAAGTTTCTGAAAAACGCTGCTGCAGTTCCAAACAAGGTTCTAGGTGGCCCTAATCATGGGTCACTTCGTTCCATAAAAACGATTTGCCTCCCACAAAAAAATCAAGACAATGGCATGCCCTTTACATACAGAATATACAGAAACCAGGATTTCTACAACAGTACCATTTAAGGCAATTATGGTCATGGAGCTCAACCTGTATCTCCACAGACGCTCCTGTTTACAATAAATACAACAGCCCATTCTAGGATTTATCGATATACTAGTAGTATGGTGGCAAATTAAAATAAAATTGGTAGAGGAATATCAAAATAATAGAAGAAAAGGGACATATTAAGTTTTGACCAAGATATTTTGTGCAGAAGTTTCGACCAAGTTATTTTGTGCAGACTAAAGGATGGGGCGAAATTTAGTCTTACTTTCACAATACGCCGGTGACCCAGACCAGTATCCGCTGCCAGAGCAGGTCCTGCTGCTGCTGCCGACGAGACGATACCCGGTGTTGCATGAGATGGTCACCCTCGTCCCGTAAGTGTTGGCAGAAGATGACACCCTACCATACCTGGGGGAGTCCAAGGATCCGCATCGTATTGCTAAAACGAAACAAGAAGCCAATAGATCATCTGTAAGATATATATATATATAGGTGTTTAAGTCCGTTGTTAAAAATTAGGAAATGCATGGACTGAAATTACTTACACAATATAACAGTTCTTGAGCCCCCAAATCAATCTAAGTACTAGACTGTCGTTCACAAAGTCAAAGCTGATTGCATTCACCAACTACCTATTTGTTAACCTTTCATCAAATTGTTGGCGACGGCCACAATAACATCTGCCGAATTGGTAATAAGCTATTTTTCATATTTGCAGAGACTTGACATTAATAGAATTTTTGTTTACAAGGTAACGTTGTTATATACAAAAAATAACATGTTAACACACAGTCTGGCAACAAATATAGTTCTGTATAACATTCTGTTGTTTTTTTTCATTTTACTAAGAACACAAATATCACTACAAAGGCCGGCATTTGTTAGAGATCAAATACAGCATATTTCACCCAATTTCCCTCCCCGTAAAAAGGGGCTGTTTTAAACTCACACTTATGCAAAAGAAAAACATTCAACAGTAACTTCTCTCCATAAGTGAACTACACTATTATAATAAATGGATGTCTAACCTTCATCGACGCATGTTGATTAATTACTAGTTTTGTGAGAATAGTCTGTCGGGATCAATCCTGGAAAACGCAATTATTACGCACATCTACAATACTCACGGTCGCATTCAAATTTACAAGATCTATTGAAATACAAGCCTAAAATATTATGTGTTTTGGTGCCAGGTTGACATAATTTTCACTGTGGTATAAGTAAGAGGTAGAATCAATCAAGGGTTTGAATGGTAATGTTACCTGTTTGACAGCAGGTTCCTGTGTACCCACTGTAACAATTGCAATATCCACCACTTGAACTCCAAGATCCATGACCGTTGCAGTTCCCAGTGCAGGCAACAGTCTGCGTGGAAGAGCCGGGGCATGTGCCTCCACACTGGGCGCTAACAGTGACGCTCCTTGTTCTTGTTCTTGTTCCACTGCCCCGGCAGGCTCCAAAACAGGTGTTACTGTAGGAGCTCCAGCTGGACCAGCTGCAGTTCCTATATGGGCACCTGCGACGCCGCCTACGTCTGAATCCGACAGTCTCAGGTGCGAGTAGTGTGACTATCACTACCAGAACCAAGACTGCTGAGAACCTCATCTAAATTGGTAAGAATAACATTTACTATACATTAGGTATGCTATTGAATCTTACTTAAAATCTTAAGGTCTGGCGAGAGCTTTAAATGGCTGAACGACAAAATTAAAAACTACTGTCATGGATATGATATACTTTTAGTATATGCTTTAAGTGGAATACACCTGTTAAGGTCTGGCCAACATTTAGGTAACATTTAGAAGTCCAATGTGGAGTTGCAGTCTTGTGCATGCGATGTCAAAGATTCTGCCAGAGATTGAGAGCAAAACAGGCCAAAAACTATAGCCATAGAGGCTATCTAATTCTTATGGTATATGGTATGTGTGTGTGTGTGTGTGTGTGAGAGTGTGTGTGTGTGTGTGTGTTCGTGTGCGTGTGTGTGTGTGTGTGTGTGTGTGTGTCTGTCTCTCTCTGTGTGTGTGTAGGTGTGTGTGTGCGTGTAATTTAGCACGGATTGTCATGAAAAATAGTAGGTGGGTAGGTGTTGATGAGACCTGGAAATGGTTAGATTTTGGACTCTCTAGCAGCTTGACGTGGGAGCGTCATGAACGCGCTATGAGAGCGCACAACCGCCGCAACATTAATGTAAATACAAAACATGGCGACCTTGGTGCTCCCAAGTTCTGTAGTTACGACCCTGACGCCTAACGTATTGAGCAACGAGCGAGTTGAGCTCAGGGTGAGAATTGGGTCGATGTCTACGCCCAAGGACGTTTGCGTTAAAATCAATTTGGCGACCGCGCGAGGGGTAAAAATAGTCCGGCAGCCGTCGGGAACCCAGCCAGTCTCCGTCCAAGTCCCGTCCGAAAGTGCCAAAAAAGCAGCCCGCAAACGCGCCGAGTCGGCCCCAATTTTAAGAGTCATTGCACGAGAAAACCAGGCAGAGGTCGGAAGATGAGGGTCGGCCAAATCGACTCAAACTTTGTATGTAAGTGCAGGTGCCAAGTGAAGCAGACCTCTTAGCTAAGTTGTACATATTGGCACTTACTAAATCTAAAAGGAAGACCAGAAGAAGAGGACTGAATACATATGAACAAGACCATAGCAAAAACAATATATGAATGCTATTAGTATTTACATGTGCGTTTCTTGAATAATGAGGGGTTAGTACAGGTACATGTATGCTGCTATTATAAACCTGCGATGTGCCAATGTACTGTTGCGTAGCATGCACAATATATCTGATCATACATTGATTTAGCGGTATCTCATTTTTTCAATTAATGTACAAAATAATGGGAACCATTTTTGTCTTCTTCGAGCGAGTTAGAAGTTCCGGCAGGCGAATGGATTGTCAGCAGAACATACGAAGGAAGTTTAATGATTGACATTAAGTAGGTATAATCACCTCGGGAGCAGGCGTCAAATTTTACGGTCTTATAAAATCAATGTATTCTAACCCGCAAATATGCATCAAAACCTCCTCTGGCCTAACACCACCCTTCGTCACGGACAAAGGTGTGAGGCAGGGCTGTAACCTTAGTCCGACTCTCTTCAACCTGTTCATAAATGATTTAGTCAAGATGTTAGATAGTCCAGAATGCGTGCCACCCTCTCTACAGAATTTATCAATTTCCTGCTTACTCTATGGAGTTGATGTCGTAATTTTCTTGGAAACCGAGAAAGGACTTCAATGTGTCATTGACAAACTAAACACTTTCTGTACAAAATGGAAACTCCAAGTTAACCTGAAAAAGACCAAAGTTCTAATTTTTAACAAAACAGGACGCATATACATAAATACAAAATTCCTGCTCGGCTCAGAAAATATAGAAATTACTACGCCGTCCTGCTATCTAGATCTGTTGTTGTCCTCATCTGGCAGTTTCTCACTAGCTAAGAAACAACTTGCTTGAAAAGCTCGCAAAGCTG